AGTGAGTAGAGGATTTAGAAATGGAGGGGGGAAAACCAACATTTCAGCAGAGATATTCAAATTACTACCAAACACATGAAAAGATGTTCAACATAATTAACCATCATGGATACACAAATTTAAACCACAATAAGATGCCATTTCATCCCCTCTAGGCTCTGGTAGCCTAGTGGTACAGTGTTGCACTGCCAACCCAAAAGTACATGGTTCAAAACCACCAGTTACTCCACTGTAGAAAGATGGGGATTCTCCTCTAGTGTGATCTACAGCCTCTGAAAACCTGCTGGGGGTCAGCTAAGATGAGTCTGTTCAAATGCCACATAACAACAGGATGGCTAAGAATTTTTATTTAAAAAAATAAAAGCAAACATAAAATATCAAATGTTGGCAGGAATGTGAAGAAACTGGAACCCTTGCTCACTGCTGAAACACAGAATGGCATAGCTGTTGTAGAAAAGACAGTGGTAGTGCCTCAAAACACTAAAAATGGAATTCCGTACAATTCAGAAATATCACTCCTAAGTATATACTTAGCAGACTTGAAAGCAGAGATTCCAATAGAGACTAATGTTCACAGCAACATTATTCACAATAGCCAAAAACTACAAACAACTTAAATGCCTGTGAATAAATGGATGAATGGATAAGGAAAATGTGACATACATACAGTGGAATACTATATGTACTATTCTTAGCCAGTAAGAGAAATGAACAAAACTGACTGCTCTTAGGTGCTATGGACCCCAACTCACAGCAAGTCTATGAAAAACCAATTAGAACCCTGTCCCACCCAGCACCATTCTCACAATCTAACCCTGTTCAAGCCCCTTCCTGCAGGCCCCGTGTCAATCCATCTCCTTTATACAAGCTACATACAATATGAAATCTTGACATATGTAGCAATATGAATATATACTACAATGTTGGAAGACATTAAGATGAAGGAAATAAGTCAATAACAAAAGGGCAACTATTATATGACCACACATCTAAAAACTCAAGGAAAGGCAAATATATTAAGAACAAAGTTTATTAATAGTTGTCAGGAGTGGGAAGGAGGGAGGGTAGGGGGACAAAAATAATAAATTATTGCATTAATTAAGGCTAGGGTTACAGAACAGCCAATTCTTTTCATTGCTGTTAATAAATCCTGTATGTTTTTGTTGTTGTTATGTGCCGTCGAGTCTCTTGAGACTCATAGTGACCCTATGTACAACAGCCCTAAACTCTGCTCTGTCCTGTGCCAATCCCACTGCCTCCGATACACCCATACTGATCACCCCAGTCACTGAATCAATCCATCTCACAGAGGGACTTCCCCTCCTGTGCTGTCCCTCCACTTGCTTTGCATCAGAGAGTTGGACAATGACTAGGGAGGATAGAAGGAGAACTGATGTTTTTGAGCTGTGGTGCTGGAGAAGAGTATTGAGGGTAACATGGACTGCTACGAAAACAAACAGATTCTTCCTAGAGAGGGTTAAACTGAGCTGCTCCTTGGAGACAAGGATTCTGGGGCTTCATCTGACAAACCCTATATGCATATACAAAAATTAAACGAACATAAAAACATGTAAGATAGATTGATACAGATATATCATCTTTGTTTCCAGACTTTGTAGCCATCTATATTTTCATTTTTGTAAGAGTTGTCTATTATGAATCTTATAAACATTTTGTGAAGAAAAATGGATACCAAAAATGAGATCATGGAGAAAGTAACAAAAACACACTCCTTTTGCTTTCAAATAATTCCACACAAAAACATTTTGCAGAATATGAAGATATTTTTAATCTACAGATAAAAGATGTCTAGCTGAAGAAGATACATTACAAATTTGGTTTTAACATACATTTAAATTCATAGTAATTTCAATGTATCAGGCACTGTAGAACACAACGTGGAAGTATAACCATTATGTGATGACTTCTTAATACCCCAAGGAGACAACAGTAATTCTCAAATATGGAAAGAAATTAGCCTTTCTACAATACTAATCCCAAGGAGCTATTCTCCTTTATAAACGACAATATTATTGTCAGTTTCATACACTTTTACTTTATAAAGTACTCCCACAGGAAGAAATTTCTGGAGGTTTTCCCAGATATATACAGCTACATTTTCTGTCGTGCTGTTAAAAAGAAAGAAAGAAAGAAGTTCAAAAACTAATGACAAACACAATTTTATGTTTAGCATTTACAGAGAACAGAAATCCCAGGGATATTTTTAAAAAGAAATCGTTAAAACTTTAGAAAGCACACATCAACCAGATAAAATTTTTAAATAATGAAAGATAAAAAAAAAAAAATTTTAAATAATTTTTTTCTTTTTACCATCAATATAAACAAGAAAGTAGTAACATTCACCTCACCACATCTGCAAAGTAGGGGACATCTAGGTCCAGATTCTTATGATCAAGGGGCTTCATGATTGCTTCCTAAAGACAAAACAAAGGGGGGGGAGGGGAAATCACTGATTCTATTTATAACTAAAATGCCAAAATTGTACACCTATGACCCTAAATCTTACCATTAATTACTTATCCAATAATTCTCTTGATATTATTATATCAGTGTCTCTCATAGCAGTCTGAGAAAGTTTAAAAGTTATACTATCAAGCAAACTAACTCTTTATTAGCCTCTTGTGAACATTGGAAGAGAAAAAATCAATCACCAGAGAATTCACTGCACCTTCTGTAACACACACCACTGCGATGCAGAATGCAATTGACCATTTCTTGGATTTTGTTCAAAAAGTTACCAAAATCCTCATTTCTTCACCTGCAACACAGTGCCATAGTATCATCAGGACAAGGTTCCAGTGAGCACTTCACTTGCAAAGCAGACTATGGCTAACATTTAAGTAGCTATAAGTGTTTCCTACGAGAAATTTTAAGAAAAATCTTGGCCTCTTAGAAGAAATGAGTATTGGGAATATGTAAAAACTGGTACTTCCTAATGCTTTCATATATTAACATAATGTTTTTCTTTGTCATTAACAGAGATTATAATTGCCTTAGTCTTTCTAGGTTTTTAACTTTGAGCTATTTTATAAACTCTATGCATTTGTGAAACAAGCCAATTTTCCATATGGTATGCTTTCAAAATGAGAAGAAACAGTTGCAAAAACCCATTAATAATTGGAACATGGAATGTGAAAGTATGAATCTAAGGAAATTGGAAGTTGTCAAAAACAAAACTAAATGCTTCGAGATAGATATAAAAGGCATTAGTGAGCTGAAATGGACTGGTTGTGACCACTTTGAATTGGACAATCATATGCTGTACTATGTTGGTAATGACAAATTAAAAAGAATGGTATCATATTCATTGTGAAAATATAATTTCAAGACTATTATACAATGCTTATTCAAACTGATGTACCAATCACTAATGCCTAAAGGAAGAAATGAAATATTTTTACCAATTTCTGCAGTAAGAGATTGATCAAACACCCAATCAAAATACATTGCTAATTACTCGTAGAGAGGCTGCCAAAAAAGCTGAACAAAGAAGAACTGGTGGGTGGAAAATATGGCCTTGGTAAAAGAAGTACAAAAATAGCATAACAGAATTTTATAAGGCCGATGGCTTACTAATTCCAAATACCTGTTTGTAATAATGAAAACAGTGACTTTACACAAGAACCTTGCCAGGTTTCCAGACACAGAAACCAAACGGACTAAGTCTGTGGAAAGAGATGGCAGAGATGCTCAATATCATGAGTCAGAACAAAACCAGATTCCAACAGCAGAACAGACCATCAGTTGTTCACAAGGAACTTCAAGTAGAAGCTGCCGAAGAAAGTGACAAGTTCACGGGAGCCAAAGTATGACCTAGAGCATATTCCATCTGAATTTACACATCATCTCAACAACGAATTTAACACACTGAATACTAACTACCAAAACCCAGGACCTACCCATAGGTTCGAGCTGGACAGAGAGGGTCACTGTGATCTGAAAACAACCTGGCATCACCACACAACAACATGGTTCACAAGGGGAACATTAACAAGAATCAGAGATTGGGACTACAAAGCCTTGCAATTAGATAAAATTAATGAAAGTTTCACATGGATATAAAAAAAATAAATACCTGGGCTTTTCTTCAGTCTCAGTTCAGATCCCATATCCCACAATGAGGCCTCTTCTGCAGGAAATTTTTCTAACTTCACATACCTTTACTGATGGGAATATGTGGTGTCCCTCAGATATGCAATGGTGGGAAAAAAGTATAGACGCTTGCACAGAACATCTCATATTGCTATCTGTGCTGTACCACACTTTACGTATATTACCTTCTACCCTCAGTACACTCAGTAATTGTCTTCCTAGCACCCCTATGTTCTTTGAACACAATGATGTTTATTCATTCATTCAACCTCTTATTCATTTATTCAATCAAAACTTTGTGAAAACTTATTTATCTATTGTGTTATTGCCTGTTGTCGTGTGCTGTGAAGTCAGAACTGAGTATTATTGAGCCTCCAGAGGGTTTCCAGAGGCCGTAAATCCTATGGGAGGAGACTGTCCATCCTTCTCCTGAAGAGCAACTGGTAGATTCAAACTGTGTGCCTTTGGGATTGCAGTGAAGCTTCTTACCAAGAGACCACCTGAGCTTTCTACTAGAAGTAGTATTTTAAGTACTCTATGGAGAAGGGTTATATTTTATTCATCTCATTGTATTTTAGACCTTATCACCAAGGTGAATGCAAAACAGACTGTATAATGAGCTTGTTAAACAGATGCATGTTATGTAATGTGAAAAAACCCATTACTGTTGAGTCAATTCCAACTCACAGCAAGTCTACAGGACAGAGTATAAATGATAAATGTCCTAAAAGTTTCCAAGCCTGTGAATCTTTATGGAAGCACACTGCCATCTTTCACCCTTGGAACAGCTAAATGAGTTCAAACTGCTAACCTTCTGGTATCAATCAAGCATTTAAACCATGTACCACTAGGGATCCTAAGTAATGTGAAAGAAGTAACATATATTAATAACAGCATTCATCAACAACCTGCGTAATGCAGATGACACAACCCTGCTTGCTGAAACTGAGGAGGTCCTAAAGCGCTTGCTGCAGAAGGTCAAGGGCTGCAGCCTTCAATACAGATTGAAGCTTAACCTCAAGAAAACAAAGATTTGGGGAGAGGGACTGTAAAACAATGAAAGAATTTTTCTTTTACTTTTCAAAGAGAAGAGTGTACTGAGGGGAGGGGTGGGCAGGGAGAAAAGTGCAACAATGAATGACCGAAAATCCAAAGTCTCTGTAAATTTTCATTAAAATTAATAGTAATTAGAAGGAAAAAAAGAAAGAAAAACAAAGATTCTCACCACTGGGCCAATTGGCAGCATCAGTATGGATGGTGAAGAGATTGAGATAGTTAATAGTTTTAGTTTGCTTGGCTCCACAGTCAACACTCTTGGTAAAAGCAGCCAGGAAATCAAGAGACGAACTGCATTGGGAAAGTCAGCTGTCAGGGACCTCTCAAGAGTACTGAAGAGCAACAATGTCAGGTTGGAGACTAAGGTGTGCCTGATCCGGGCTATAGTCTTCGCAATTACATACTATGCATCAGAGAACTGGACAGTGAATAGGGATGATAGAGAATTGATGCCTTTGAGTTGTGGTGCTAGAGGAGAGTGTTGAGTATACCATGGACTGCTAAGAGAACAAACAGGTTTGTCCTGGAGAAGGTGAAGCTGGAATGCTCCTTGGAGACAAGGATTCTGAAGCTTCATCTGACATACTTTGGGCATGTTGTAAGGAGGGGCTGGTCCTTGGAGAGGGACATCATGTTTGGGAGAATGGAGGAACGGAGCAGGAGAGGAAGACCCTCAATGAGATGGATCAATCCTGTGATTTGGGAGGTGAGAGTGGGTGTGTCAGAGACGGTGAGGTTGGCACAGGATAGAGCAGCATTCACCACTCTTGTACATAGGGTCACTATGAGTCGCAAGCAACTCGACGGCACATAAAAACAACATTCTTATTTAAAAAAAATACTAGCTTTTTTTTTAAATAAACATAAGTAGCAGTCCCCTTTCCTCAGCTGGTTCTTCCAAGTAATCTATGGTCATGCTGAGGTGAGGCCCTCATTTCATCTGGCCACCAGCACCATGGCAACAGCCATCAACCTTGCATGACTGTGCACAGCCTCCACCTCTAACCTCACCTACCTCTACTCGAGGTGGCAACAGTCATGCAGGATAAAATCAATGTCCTCATTAAAGCAGGAGGTATAAATGTGGAACCTTTCTGGCCTGGTCGGCTTGCAAAGGGCCTGGCCTCTATCAACATTGGGAGCCTCCTCCGCACTATAGGCATGGTGGCCCTGCCCCAGGGTCTCTGCTGCACCAGTCCACCAGCCAGAAGGTCTGCTGCTCCACTGCTGCTGCTCCAGCTGAGAGGAAGAAAGCAGAAGCTGAGACAGCAGAGTCTGACGAGGACATGGGATTTGGTCTAAACTCTTGAAAACCAAATAAGCAGCAAAACCGAAGTAAAAAACTAAGGGAACAAGTGAAAGGCTGAAATAATAAAAGCTATGCCAGATAAATAAAACTCTACTCCCAACTTTCCATTTCCCAAATGATTAAGCACATGATTTAGGGCTAATCCGTTAACAATTTAACACTCTTCTAGCTTAATCAATGGCACTAGGATTCAAACCACTGACCTTTTGGTTAGCAGCCAAGTACTTAATCACTATAACACCAGGGAGCCTAAGGAGGTCATTAAATATTATCCTTAGGGTATATCACATAATACAACATCCAACATTCCATTACCTCCATATACTCTTTGAGGTCGGTCAAATTCATAACCATTCCTGTAACAGGATCAATCTAAAGAGCAAACAAAAGGAAATATTACTACAATAGGCTTTTTACATTTAAATCTCTGGTAAATTATCAAAGACTGCCTGAAGTATAGATTGTGCCCACATTTGCCTCCAACCCTGTAACAATCAACGATCACAGCAGTGAAACACTTTGCTTCAGGCATCTTCTCACTGCACTGCTCTTTTTCCTGTCTATATACAGCACTCTAAAGACTGCACTTTGGCAGAGGGGTGGCCAGGAATGGAAGCAGCTCACCACACACAGAAAAGCACTGAGGCAGAACTGAAGCCAACAGAACTGTCAACACAGATCCCAACATGGCGGCTGAAAATGCAGCAACCACATACATGTCTTCAGCACGTACCTCTCCACGTACGGTCGCCACAACTAAGAGAAAGAAAACAAGACACCGAGACCAGCGTGACTTACAACAGGTTAACATTCAAACACTAGTCAGCAACATAAATCAAACATTAAATGGTCCTGTCCCACAGTTATTCTCTTCCCCAAGATTCATTCTGTTAGGATCTTTCTATCAACCAAAGCAAACCTCAACTAAGACAGAGGATTAATAGAAGCCACAGCCAGAAAAGCAAATTCAGCTGATTATGCTGATTCCTTCGGTGATAAGAGAACTACTGCACAATTTCTTTCTATAGAAACAGAAAATGTACCAGCAGGTTTCCATCTTTATACAGAGCTGATCCACTTCTGGACACCTTTCAAGCCAAGCTTTTACCAGCAGCAGAAGCTACTCTTCTCCTAGCAGAGCAAGCTAAGCTTCTACTAACACTTCAGCTCTTATCCATTTATTCTATGAAGATATGAAAATTTGGAGAACTATCAAAAGCTTATATAAAGCAACTGAAAAATCTCAGTGATCAGTGCTTTAAAAATTAGTGGTGTGGTTAGTTAGCTGCCACCAGTTGAGCCCAACTCATGGTGACACTGTGTGTGCGCTGAACTACTCCATAAAGTTTTCAAGGCTGTGACTTTTTAAAAACATAGGCCTTACTTTCCAAGGTGCCTCTCTGAGTGGGCTTAAACCATTGATCTTTTGGCTACTGGTCAAATGTTTAACCACTGTACCACCCAAGGACTCACCTAAAAATCACTTTCACGTATCTCTTTTTTTCAGCTCCATACAAACATAATTAGTTATTACGTGAGTGAAACAAGACTGATGGACGTCATAAGTCAAATGCACCTCAACTAAAGAACTACCTGTTCTTTCACTCCACTGCTCCACCAAAAAAAAAAAAACCTATGGCAGTTTTTTGAGGTATCATCTACATCTCTAAGAATTAAATATTTTCCCTTTACACAAATTACTTTAGCACTTCTAGCAAAATCTTAGGCCTAGCCTATTTTCTGCCATATAGCACATTCCCAGAGAATATTTCTCCTTTGTCAGTCATTACTTATTCTAAGAATTCAATCTAATTTTTACATTCAGCTCAGCATGACCCAATTAAAGGGGGGAAATGCTGCCCAAAGGATCTTGTTATGCACTCTAAGGCCAAGAAAAAAATTATTTCAACTATTCATTGTTTTAGCCTATCTGCAACACAAGACAACTGGGATATAAAACTTAAGACACATCTAAGCATGGTACACTGAACTTCCATTTTCATTGTGACCATCCACTTAATTTTTTATTCAACACGTAAAGCACTTCTGCTCTGTCCTTTGGTTTCTTGCCAAATCTGTATTTGCTAAACAATCTTTGATCCTTATTGAAAAAGCTAAAATGTCACCATTTATTTCCCCCTCTCACCTTTATAATTGTGCCCATGGCCATTCGGATTGTTGCACTTTCCAAACAGCTTCACGTTTTCTTCATTACTCAGAGATTTGCTTATAAAAGAGGAAAAAGTCAATATAAGGCAAATATTACATTCAGACTCATTCATCCCTGTTGTTGTTGTTCTTGTTGTTATTACATGCCATCAAGTGCAACACATAGTAACCTGTGAACAACAGACCTGAACCCTGTCCTATGCCATTCTCACCATCTCCAATACACTTGAGCCCACTGCTGCAGTTACCATGTCTATCTATCTCATTGGGAGTCTTCCTCTCTTTTGCTTCACTTCCACCTTTCCAAGTATGATATCCCTTTCTAAGGAACAGCCTCCCCTAGCAACATGTCCAAAGAATGAGAGACAAAGCTTTGCCACACTTGCCTCCAAGCAACACTCCAGCTCTACCTTTTCCAAGATATACCTGTTCATTCTTTTGGTAGTCCATGGATATTCAGTAATCTTCTCCAACAGCACAACTCAAAAGCATCAATTCTTCTGTCATCCTTATTCATCTTACAGCTCCTACATGCACAGTATGTGACTAACAAGACCACTGCCTAAATGTTAGTCTTCAAACTGACATCACTACTCGTAAATGTTTCTTAGAGGTCCCTAACAGCTGCCTTGCCCAAAGTTTAATATGTCTCCTGAGTTCTGATATCAAGGGTGATGACTGTGGCCCCACATCAGATGAAATCACTGACAGTTTTACTACCTTCTCCATCTAACATGATGTTGCCCACTAACTCAGGGGTAAGGACTTTTGTTTTCCTGATGCTGAGATGTAATCCATATTGAATGTTGTAGTCTTTGATCTTCTGCAGCAAGTGCTTCAGGTCCTACTCACTTTCAGTAAACAGGGTAGTGTCGTCTGTACAACAGAAGTTGTTGAGTTTTCCTCCAATCCTGATGCCGCATTATTCTTTGTAGAGTCCAGCTTCATGAATTATCTGCTCAGCATACAGATTGACTAGGTCTGGAGAAAGGATACCCTTCCTTCCTGAATTTTACCATACAGTGTTCCTTGTTCCGTTCAGACAGTTTCTTGTTTAGGTATAGATTTTGTATGAGCACAATTAAGTGTTTTGGGATCCCCATTTTTCTCAATGTTAGCCATAATTTGTTGTGATCCATACAAATGCCTTTGCATAGTCAATGAAAGACAAGTTGACATTCTTCTGGTATTCTCTGCTTTAAGCTAACATTCATCAGACATCAGCAGTGATATATCTGGTGTCATGGGCTCTTCTAAACCCAGCCTGAACTTGTGGCATTTCCCTGTCAATATAATGTTTCAGCCACTTTTTTATGATCTTCAAAAATATTTTATTTGCATGTGATAGTAATGATACTGTTTGATAATTCACACATTCTGTTGACTCACCTTTCTTGGTAATGGGAACAAATAATTTAAAATGTGCCTTCAAAAAGCTTCACAATTTATTATTATGACTCACCAAAAGTAAAGTCAGAAGTCAATTTTATTTCATTATTCCAACTACAATGTCAGGAATCAGTACACACCCTCTAGTCAGACCACCAACCAATTAGACTACAAATTAACATTTTAAAAAAACAAACCCATTGAGTCAATTCTAACTCACAGTGAACAACCACATGGCTGTCAGAGCTGTAAATCTTGATGGGAGGGCACTGCTCATCTTTCTTCTGCTGCTAAGCTACTGGATTCTAACCGGAGACAAGAACAACATGCAACAGCCTACACCATCAGAGCTCCTATCATAAACAACCTCAAAGTCAATCTTCTTGTTCCACATCTATAGATTACAACAGAGATTTGCCCTTCAGGGCCCTTCCATTTTCTTCAATTCAACAAACATTTACAGAGTACCTATTACGTAGTAGGTACGTAATAAATGGGGAAATAGCATGTAATATAATAGATATGATCTCTCCAGAGTGCTGAAGAGCAATGATGTCTGTCTAGAGACTAAGGTGTGCCTGATCCAGGCCATGGTTTTTGCAATTACTTGCTATGATCAGAGAACTGGTCAATGACTAAGAATGGCAGAAGAATTGATGCCTTTGAGTTGTGGTGCCTGAGAAGAGTACTGAACATACCATGGACTGCCAATGGTACTAACAAGTCTGTCCTGGAGAGTGTAAAACCAAGCTGCTCCTTGAAGGATTTTGAGACTGTTCACATATTCTGGGTATATAGCCAGGAGGGAACAGACATTGGAAAAGGATATCATGCTTGGAAGGCTTGATGAACAGCATAGGAGAGGAAGACCCCGTATGAGATGGATTGATACAATAACTGGTGTAATGAGAGTAGGTGTCTCATAGTGAGCTGCTATGAGTTGGAGTCAACTCAACAGTACATAACAACAACATCCTCAAGCTTATAATCTCATTCCTCTTGAAAAAGAATTACATAACCTAGTAAATCTCCTTTAAGAATTGTTTTACAGCATCACCTATTTTGTATATTTCATGAGTTACTTGTTTTTCAATGCTGCATAGTATTCCATTGTGTGAATATACCACAACTTCTCTGTCCATTTATTTGTTGATGGACTCTTGGGTTGTTTCCATCTCTTTGCTATTTTGAAAAACACTGCAAGGGTTGTGCACATGAGTGTGCATATATCTGCCTGGTGGCAGTTCTGGTTTCTTCATATTCCCAGTAGTGGAATTGCTGAGTCATATGGTATTTCTATCTCCAACTTTCTGAGAAAGAGCCACACTGCCTTCCATAGTGGTTGCACCATTTTACACTCCCATCAACAGTGAATAAGTAGTGAGATCTCTCAGTCACAAAGGGATAAATACTGCATAGTGCCACTGTTGTAAAACAGGACTTACATTGGGATTAGGGGGGAACTAAGAAAAGAGAGAATAAATAACATGCACTGCATTGAAACAGATGAGGGAAAGAACTGTTTAAAAGGAATATATGAGTAGGTATTATTTGCATGACAATAGTCCAGAATAAGAGCAGCATAGTAAAGTGGACTGGGGTGGGATAGGGAATTATTCACCAGTGAAAGAACTGCTTTTCTCTTTGAGAAAAACTGGGGGCAGGTACAGGGAGGAAAATGTGCAACAACGAACAAATGGAAATCCAAGTTCTCTATAAACTTTCATTAAAGAAAAAAAGAAATCTGTTTTACATAATGGGAATGATTGTATGAAGCACAATGTGAATGAAGGGTCGTGTGAAACACAATATATACTAACTTTTTAAGCAAACCAATACAAATTAAAAACTGTTTCATAAAACATAAAGAGATATTCCTCTGGAATCCTTTACTTTCAGCTTTTTACTTTCTACCTTTTCCAGCCTTTTTACTTTAATAAACAATTAATTAAAAAATTGTATGAAGTCTTTAAAAATAAATTTGGTTTCACCATGCCTCAACTGTACTGTATTTAATAAATGCTGGTTTTCTAACAAATTGAAGGTTAAGAGCAATCCTCTTTTGAGTAAGTCCAATGGTGTCATTTTTTTCCTACAGCACTTATTCACTTCATGTATATGTCAGTTAGTAAATCTCACAATTAGTCAAACTTTTTCATCACACTACCGTATATTTAATTATTGTTGCTGTCGTCAGGTGCCTTCAGGTCGACTATGACTAACAGGCCTGTAAACAACAGATCCAAGCCTTGCCCTTCCTGCATCACCCTCATGATCTCCAAAAGTCACTGTGTAAATCCATGTTGTCGAAGATTTTCCTCTCTTTTTGTGACCATTCACATTTCCTACCATGACATCTTCCAAGGACTGGGCCCTCCTGACAACATTCCCAAAGTATATAAGGCAAAGTTTCACCATCATTTCCTTCAAGAAGCAACCTGGTTATATCACCAAGATAGACTTGTTTGTTCTTGTGGCAATCCATGGGATATTCAATACTCTTCGCCAACACCACATTTTATAGGCATTGATTCTTCTGTCATCCTTACTCAGTATCCAATTTTCAGGATATACAGGAAGGAACTAAAAATGCCATGGTTCAATGGGGCACATCTTAGTCTTTAAACTGACATCATTGCTCTTTATACCTTTGGTGAGGTCCTTAATAGCAGATTTTCCCAATGCAATACATCTTTTTATTTCTTGACCATTTTCTTTTTTATTTTTTTGTGTATGTACCATCAAATCGGATCTGACTGGTAAAGGAAGAGATTGTCCCTCCTACAGTAGAGCATCTGATGGATTTGAACTGCGTGCCTCTAGGATTACAGTGCAGCTTCTTGCCACTAGGCCAAGAGCTCCCGACCATTATTTCTTGACATTCACACTTACTGGTGTTAATTACATAGTGTAAACTTTTAAATGCACTGAAAAACCAAAATAATTTGTGTGCCTCATTTTACTGCAATATCTGCATTATTGCAATGATATAGAACTGAACCCAGAGTTATTTCCAAGGTATGCCTGTTTTTCTTAGTGTCAAAGTCACCAACCTATTAGAAAATATTTAAATTGGGTCAGACTAAAAAACTACAATGCTTAGCTGCTGTTGCAAAGAAGAAATTACTTCATCAATACTCATCCAAGCAATTTCTGCATCTCCTGTGAAGCCTCAACATCCTTGCATTTGCGCTGCCAGTTCAAGATCCCCTTTATTACTCCTACTGTCACCTGCTCATCTGTGTCACATATTTAGAGTGCTACAATTCACAAAGGTTTTGCAGTCATCCACTGGACTCTCCACAGAATTGATAAGACTGCAGAGATAGTAAACTACAACAAATGAACCGACAAATTACTGTCACTTTGTTTTTGTTAGTGTCCTTGAGTTGATCTGGACAAACAGCAACTCTGTGTGACTGAATAGATCTGTCCCAAAGGATTTGCTGGGCTGTTAACTTTTCTAGGAAAAGTCCTAGTGGCTAAAGTGCTGGGCAGCTAAGGAAGACGCTGGCTCTTTGTATTCACTAGTTTCCCTCCAGATATGGCAGTTCTGCTCTGTCCTGGAGGGTTATTAGGAGTCACAATCAAATTGACAGCAAGAGATCTAGGTTATCTTTAAGGAGAGCAGATTGCCAGGTCTTTCTCCCACGAAGCTGCTAAATGCCAAACTTTTGGTCAGCAGTCTAGCACTTAAGAGTTGCCTCACCAAGACCCTTTATCCTCATTTTACAAATGACAGAAAAGAGGCTTTGTGAGCGGGGCTGACCTTCGAGTCATGCTACTATAATCAAGTTGAGTGTGAGAATCTTGGGTTCAAATTCCAGCTTTCCAGCCTGCACCGAGTTGCCACTGGAAAGTCAACCTTTGGACTAATTTTATATTGAGTAAAAAGGAACTAAAACTTTCCCTGATATGGTGGCCAGTGCTCTGTGCACGTGGTGTTAACTAAGGAGGTGAGACTTTATCTCCTATACTCTGCACATCTTATCAGAAGGGGCCACTCCCTGGACATCACACCTTGAAAAAATGAGGTGTCAGCAAAAGAGAGGACGACCCTTAAGGAGACTGACAGTAGCTGCAACACTGTGAGATTCAGAAGACAGTGTGGATCCGACAGGGTTTTATTCTATTGCACGTGGAGTGCCAAGGGTCAGAGCCAACGGTAGAGCAACTAACATTTATGAATGTTTACGACGAGCTGGGTACAATGTAATCTGGACAGCTGTTACCTCTTTGAACTTTACAGTAGGGGTGGGAGTTAAACTAAGGAAATCTGAAGGCTAAAACAGTGGCTTCGGGTCACCAAATAACTAAGACGACCTCTTGGTTGCAAATGCAGGGCCTTCACCTGCTTCACGAACTAGCCACTCTAGTTGTTACTGTTATGTTGTTATCAAATAAAGAAGTCACCCAGCGTTCCCCCCAGCACCCGTCGTGTTCGCAGGGGACGCCCCTCTGTCCCCCGGGTCCCTCATCCTAGAGCTCAAAAGCGAGGTCTGCAGGATCGCAGCCCCGCCCCCGTGGAGTCTGACAGCAGCGCACGAGCCCCGCCTCCCGACCCTGGCACCTGTGGGCACACCCCACCTGTGGAGCCTGTGGCTCGCGCTGAAGGTAACCACACGGGACACTTGCGCGTGGCGAAGGCGACGAGAGCCGAGCGCATTCATCGTCCCCGGAGCCCAGGACGCGCAGCAGCAGGACAGGAGGGGCCTATCTCCGCGTCTGCGCACTAAGCGCCCTCGCGCCCCCGGAAGCGCTCCTCGATCTCACTCTGGGCTGGGCTGGGGCCTTCCCCACCTCGCCAGCTTCGTACCGCCTAAAGGGCGTTCCAAAGGCCGTCGTATGGCCTAGGGGTAAGAAGTAAGGCTGCAGTCTCAAAGGTGCACGTTTCAAATCCACCAGCCGCTGTGTGGAAGAGGGATCCGCAACCCGCTGGAGAGTCAGCTATGGGTCTGCTCGGACTCCGCAGTACACACAGGAGTCCAGTTAGTAGCTAGATAAACCTTCCAGCAGTCAGAATGATGAGTGGAAGGGAGAGAGAATTTAATGTCTCTTAGTTTTACATATGATAAGCCTTAGGCTGTTCAGAGCCTACAGTATGCACTAGATATTGACAACATCAAAATAATCTAGAATAGTCTGTGTTTACACAAATACTAATCCATTTAAAGCATGAAAATAAAAGTATAGAAGGTATTTCTGAGCAATTGCTTTTAGTAAAATACTGTGTTGCATTCAGAGTTCTTGGTCTAAAATATTTCACTGAAACTCGTTCTGTGTAAAGCTAGACATGAAATTTACGCTCAGAGGTTCTAACCAACCTATAAGCAAACAGTAGTCTCCTTAACTTTCAAGTCTTTGGGATCAACAACCGTTAAGCAAGGTCCCCACTTCACTCATGCAACATCTCTGGCACCCACTAAAGCAGTCAACAACTATTGCACTGGGAAAGTCTGCAGTCAGGGACCTCGCTAATTATTGAGGGGCAAATATGTCAATGTGAGGACTAAGGTGTGCCTTACTCAGGCCATAGTCTTTTCAATCACATGCTACTCATCTAAGAGCTGGACAATGAATAAGGATGACAGAAGAATTGATGCTTTGGGCTCTGGTGTAGGAGAAGAGTGCTCAATATCCCACAGACTCCCAAAAGAACAAACAGATATGTCTTGGTGAAAGTACAGCCAGAGTGCCCCTTGGAGACAAAGGTAATAAAGCTTTGTCTAACATACTTTGGGTATGTCAGAAGAGGATAGTCATTGGAGGGGGACATCATGCTTTAAAAGGTGGAGGGACAGCAAGGGAGAGGAAAGCCTTCAACCAGATGGACTAAGGCAGTGACTGCATCAATGGACTCAACTAAAGCATTCAAGGAGCCCTGGTAGGCTGCTAACTTAAAGGTCTGAGGTTGGATGAGAGGAACAACGATAGGCAATCTCCTCCCATAATGATTCCTTGCTTTAATGACTTGATGGAGTCTAGCCATGAGTTGGAAGCTGCTCCACAAATAGGTTTGGGGTTTTATTGTTGTTGTTGAGAATATGGTATTGGACTGCTAACCAACTCTGGGCAGTTTGAGTGGCCTCATGGATGAGGATTTGTGCTGCCAACCCAAAGGCCACCAGAGCTCTGTAACTCAAAGGCAGGCAGTTCAAATCCACTTCATGGGGGAAAGAGGGGCCCTCTCCTCCTGTGTGATCTACAGTCTCTAAAAACCTGCTGGAGGGTCAGCTATGAGTCAGTTCTGACTCAATGGTAATGAGTGAATGTGTGAGTTGCTCCTTGGGAGAAGGATGAAGCAATCTATTTCTCTAAAGATGTACAGCCTGGGAAACTCTGAGGGCAATTTTACTCTGTCCTACAGGGTTTCAATTAATCAGAATTGACTTAGTAACAATAGATGCAAAGGCAAGATTCAAAAGGTTTCTTCCTTTGAAATACTGTAAGGTATACAAATGTGTACATACTGATAAGGCACCCCCTACACTGATCACCATCCAATGATTAGTCACTCATTAAGTTGGTATATTCTTACTTAATCTCTATAAAAAGCCAGACGCTCTACTGTCAGAAATACAAAAGATAAATAACAAATACATGGAGCCTGTCCTCACAAAGTTCAGTTTCATGAAAAATCCAAACACAAAATCATGACAAAATAAAGAAAATTAATTCTGCCTCAAAAAAAAAGTAAAAGAAAGCTTCAAAGAGGAGATGGCTTCTGAGCTGAATTTTAAGGGAGTTCACCAGGTGAATATACAAAGGGTTGAGAGTCCCAGGACGGGAAGACAAGGGTGAGCAAAGGAAATGGGAAAAGTGCAGCTTGCTTAGTGTACAGTGCCAAGTTCTTGATTGCAACAGGGAGACAGGTGAGACACGACACTGGAAACGCAGATTGAGAACCGGATTATAAAAGGGCCCTGAATGTCAATTTAAGTACAAAACAGAGGAGGCTGCATGTACCCCTCTCTTACCTCATTCCTAGTTCTTCTTGGCTAAGAGAAGGGAATTTTCAGTTAAATGAATCACATTTCAGCCACTAGCTGAGTCTTGTTTACTGACAGGCATTTCAGCCACTAGCTGAGTCTTGTTTACTGACAGACAGGGTGACAATGTGTTACAAGCTCCATAGTTGTCTGTGGCTTATTCTCTGTTGTTATGCTTTGAAGCATAAAGTAGGCCAAAAGTTCCCTCCTATCCCTCCTTCATGGGTCTGGTCACCTTATTCACTGTTCACTGTTCTGTTCTACTTTTTGCCTCCCTGTAGTACACTGGCCCAGGGACTAGTCCTTTGGGACAGACTGCCCATCTCTCTCTCTCCTTTTCTTCTTCCACTGTGTAACAATTCTTCCTTTCCTGGTGTCTCTGGATATCGGCTGGTGTTAAGAGTTGAGTTTAGAGAGAGGAAGAGGAAGAGGTCTTGCCTAAGCTGTGAGCCCTGGTTCTCTGTTCTCTCAGACACTATCAAGTCTTCAGCATTGGACCATCAGGCACAGGTACTTAGATTACAAAATGTCATTGATCCTTTTTTTATCTTCCCCTACAACAAACTTATGTATCACAGAGCTAAGGGTAAATTCTGGCATCCCAACTGTAAAATATTGGGATTTATATTGCTGGCCTTTATATGTTTGAACTTTGCTCCCGGCATATTGTTGTTAGGTAGTACCAAACTGGTTCCAGCTCACAGTGACCCTGTGTGCACCAGAATGACATATGTTGGTCCGGCTCCATGCTCATAGTCGCTGCTGTGGTTGGATCCATTCTTGAAGCCACTATGTCAATTTAGAACGTTGAGGGGCTGCCTCTTATTCAGTGACCCTCACTTTTCAAAAAATAAAGTCCTGTTCCAGGGACTGGCCTCTCCCGATAACATGTCCAAAGTTTGTGAGGTGACGTTGCCCCACCCTTCCCTCCAGAACATGCGGAACATTCCCAGTCAGCACTGACTACGCTTCTTCCAAAACAAGTACGCTAGTTCTTTTGACAGTCCATGGTCTATTACATACTCTTCCTCAAAACCACACTTAAAAGGCATCAGTTCTGCTTTGGTCTCTGTGTATTAGGATAGATTATAGGTTTTTAAACAGAGGCAAAATATTTTATCTGTTTACTTCCCAGAGAGCAGCCAGTATAATCTTCTCCCCTAAGATCTAGACGAAAAAAAAAATGCCCTATTTCCATGTACTTGATTCCAACTCATAGTGACCCTGAACTGATGGGGGGGGGGGGTGTCAGAGCTTTTGTATGAGTTTATTCATTTAACTTTAAAATAGCTGAATATTAAAACAAAACCAATAGCCTATGGGAAGCCAATACTAAATATTCAAACCGAATGCTAGTTCAGGATGTGGGGGAGGTGTGGTTCAAGCTGGAATTCACCCTGAGGCACCAAGACAATCCTTAAGGGTTTAACGGATTCTTGCTTTGTATTTGCTGACCCCTTCCTCAAGGCAAACGTTTTCAATAGAAAAAGCTTGGCTTCATTTGCATTGAATTCTCTTTGTGATTTACTTCCTGATAATTTTCAATAAAGAGACAGGGAAGCTGGAATCTAGGCCTTCAGTCATCCTGAACTGCTGGCCCCCTGTCTTTTAAGCTGTTTTATCTCATTCCTGGTTGTCTGTCTCATTATTAATAATTATTATAAAAATACTTTACCCTTGGTCTGCAACAATAGCCAAATAGTGAGCATATTATGATTACAGTCCTTCTTATGTACTTACTGCATATCTAATGCTAGCAGGCACCCATTAAGAGGTCTGACTCTGAACCCCACCTCTGGGGTGATGGTCATCCTCCTCTTCATACGCTTCTCCATTGTAATGGCATCATCTTTCCCGGTTTGGATCAAAGTCCACCAGTTCTACCTGATCCATTTCATCAGTCTCTTCTACCTCCATCCCTACAGGTAGGAGTTTTTCCAGCAGAGAGAGCTTTTGGGGAGAAAGAAAGCCATTTTCAGGAAAGTTAACCTTAAATCCAATGATTAGGCATCCTTTTTCATATGATCATAGTAAGTGGTTTCCTTCACCATTTTGTATCACATCTCACCAGATTTCCTGCTGCATTCAGCACCGACCATTAATATTTCCTTCCTTTCTCCTGTCCACCCAAGATCAAAATGGTCTTGCACTGCTTTTTTAAAGCTGCAAATCTCTATGGAAGGCAATTGCTCATCTTTCTCCCATAAAGTGACTGGTGGATTTGAACCACTGATCTTTTGTTTTGGCAGCCCAACATGCAACACATTACACCACCAGGATCCTTTAAGATAGCTCAGCTTCCATGTGATATCTGAAGAAACACAATTCCTTTTCAGGGATCTCTGTGACAGAGGATTTAGGTTTTCAGGATTACAATAGGCTCAAGGCTGAATTAGTTCTGTTTATGCATCATCTTGAAAGACAAGGGAGCAAAGGATTTTAAGAATGTTGGCAAGAGTTGGTTTAAGTGACTGACCTTGCGATCTAGGCTGAAAGGGGCTTCTAGGATTTTAAAGAAAGAACTAAAACCAGAGGAGACTAAATTACTTGGTCTCTAGTGCTATCTATTAGAGAGGCCCAGGTGAAGCACTCAGCTATTAACTGAAAGGTTACTGGTTCAAACCAACCAGCCACTCTTGGCAGTCCACTTTCACAAAGACCACAAGCTCAGAACCTCAAAC